GTAGCCAGGCGCGCTGTGTCCACTATCCTAGTAGCCGCGGCGCTGACGTGTCACCACCCGCGGCATTCTACTAGTGCAGTAGCCAGGCGCGCTGTGTCCACTATCCTAGTAGCCGTGGCGCTGACGTGTCACCACCCTCGGCATTCTACTAGTGCAGTAGCCAGGCGCGCTGTGTCCACTATCCTAGTAGCCGCGGCGCTGACGTGTCACCACCCGCGGCATTCTACTAGTGCAGTAGCCAGGCGCGCTGTGTCCACTATCCTAGTAGCCGCGGCGCTGACGTGTCACCACCCTCGGCATTCTACTAGTGCAGTAGCCAGGCGCGCTGTGTCCACTATCCTAGTAGCCGTGGCGCTGACGTGTCACCACCCTCGGCATTCTACTAGTGCAGTAGCCAGGCGCGCTGTGTCCACTATCCTAGTAGCCGTGGCGCTGACGTGTCACCACCCTCGGCATTCTACTAGTGCAGTAGCCAGGCGCGCTGTGTCCACTATCCTAGTAGCCGTGGCGCTGACGTGTCACCACCCTCGGCATTCTACTAGTGCAGTAGCCAGGCGCGCTGTGTCCACTATCCCAAAGGTTAAGGCCTGCCTTTCTGCTCCCTGAGTGACCGGGTCCAAATCCACCTGCCGACCTCACGGCGTATGAGAGGTGTTGAAATGAAAGGTGATCCCCATCTTATGGACGGTGTAGGACGTGATAATATCAACTTGCGAGCTGACCAGGACGTATGTTGAGGCGCCGTTAATTCGCTAGATATAGTTGGATGCTGGTGGTGAGTTGCTGAACTCAACGAATATATTCTGAAGTCGGATGGGGTGAACGGATCAGGGTGCCCCTCTCGCAGGGGAGAGCAGGGAACTGCCTCGGGAAAGGGGCCGCCGGTGAAACTTTACCACCCTGTAACTACATACATGCACGTAACCAAAACCCCATTTACGACTTGATGAGACCCAACCCGATCCACCTATATACAGCCTTAATCTTCTCCTGGCGCCCTCTTTGTGAGTTCCACTTTCCTGCCTGTTTTAGTCTGCTGCCCAACCGGTATAGCAGCCACGTTGCAGCAGGCCGCAAGGTCGACCCGCATCTCAAGCTTGCGCTGGCGGGACTGTGCCGGTTTAGGTGCAGAGCGCGCCACGTCGGTCCCCCCCCTGGCCTGCACCATCCCCACCACGATCGCTGTAGCCGCTGATACCCCTCCTCATCCCCAACTGACGCCCTTCTCGTCTAAAACCAGCCAGTGTGCCGCACAGTACTACTGTGCGGGGGCAGTAACCCCTGCAGTGCCTGTGTAGGTGTGCGAATAGAGTTTAGCGTCCTCTAGGTTGACAGTTCAGTTAATCATAACCCTGATGAAGACTAGCATGTCGTGAAAATACAATGCAAGACGATTGCGTGACGCATCCCTCTGTCAACAGGATGTTCTGTAACATGAACAAGATAACAGCATTTGGACACGGGAAGCAAGGCATGAGCAAATCAGGACCACATATCTCAATCAATGTGGGACTTGAACCCACTGAAGCCCCATGGGGCGGACCGGGACCGGGACCGGGACCGGGGGGCCCCATGTCGTACGATGGGAACGCACCACGGCACAGTCACCGACACAGGCACTGCATCACGACCTTTCCCGCCGCGTCCCCTCGCACCAAGGGGGCTCTCCCTTCACGATGGGATGGCGACCAAAACAGCGAGAAGGGTGATGATGATGAACGCCTCAAAGCGAATGACCTGCGCGTCCAGTAGCCGTCGAACCAGGCGCCGTGCACGCCCGGTAGCAATTGAACTAGGTGCCGTGCACGCCTGAGGCGTCGTATACGGAGATGCGGATGCCTACATTCGGATGCCTAGATGCTACTAGATCCTACTGTTTTATTCAGTTCAGGTTCCTGGATTCGATTCTTGGGAGACCCTCGACATTGTCGGGAGCGTGAGATTATGGCTAGCTGCTGAGATGTGATTCGTACACTGGAATGGTGGCGATTGCTGAACCCTCTGTCTCTGCGGATGTTCGGGCGAATGGATGAGGAGGGATCCTAGAAGGCAGGATCAACCGCCGTGGACTTGCACTTCGTATGATTTAGTACAGTGTGGTAATGATGGATGGTGCTATATGGTGATTAATCGTAGAAATGACAATGTGTTCAAGTGGCCCAGAAGCCTTCCACTCTGTAACGACAACACCAAATATGCCTAGATGCGGATGCCTAGATGCAGGTGCATGTATGCTCAAATGCACCAGCTCCCAATCCCGGCACTCCTAATTCCTAACCTCGCTAGCCGAGGAAAACAACCCAATGGGGCGACAACACGAACGCATGGCAACACGGAAGCACAGCCCCCACGCTACACAATTTGCAACAGTCCCATCACACAAAGCACCACATGCAACAGGACGGTCACGCTTGGCTGACGGCTGGCAGCACTGATTTTGTTTTGCTGCAACAGGTTTTAACACAGCTTCGTTTTTAGACCCTACATCATCAAAGCATCAGGGTCTGACATTATGGAGCAAGTGTGCATCTGAAAGGCTTTATGTTAAGCATGCAGGCGCATGAGCAAGGAAAAATGGAACCTGTCGGACAGCCAGGGAACTGGATCCTATCGGCCAGCGCACCGCAAGCAGCAAGAAAGTATCATTTCTACCATAAAACGAAGGCAGGTCCAGAAGGTGTAAGGTAAATGGTGGGAAAACTCGTGCAGGATTATCAGGAATCGATGCACAGGCGAGGTAATCAGCACGCAAATGGTTACGATAGTGAGCGTGGACCTACATAGATGAAAAGCAAGGGCGCAAGAAGGTTGTGTTGAAGTCCGGCCTGTCTGTAATGCTTAATGAGTTTTGGCTTGGAGGTACGGTGATTGGTTCCGCGGTTGGTTCGGAGCGAACTTCCGTACTTGTCCGAGCGCCATCTGAGTTGGTATAAGGCACAATGGACCTACTATTTATTTTTGTCTGAAATGCTTGTTGTTTAGTGTGTCTGTGGCTGAGTAAAGTAGCTCGGTGCACTTATAAAACCTTGGTAATCACTTGCGCTTCCGATCCATTTTCCCTCTACTGGGCTTTTAGCTGCTTTGGGGATAGTATTTAGTGTTGGAAACTCGCAGCCTCGTCTCCTGACAACACCGGTGCTTGCGGCTAGCGCGGGCAACGCTTACTGCCTTTTAAAAGGTTATGCGCCCCGACCGGACAGTCGGCGGTAGATTTTAATTGTTCTCCTGCTGTGGTGGACTTCATTTCTTCAACGTTCCTTCCATCAGTTCGACCTGTGGAGCGACTTTATTGATCTGATTGATTCTCTACACCAAAATGGACCAGAGGTGGTTGTTCAATGATGAACTCTCCAGTGAAAACTACGACTACTGGTTTTGGCAGATGCAGACAGTTCTGGAGAAGGCTGGCTGTCTCTCCGCCATCACGGAGGATCTCCCAGCAGTCGACGCACCTGGCTACGCTGCCGCCAAGAAGCGCAGTGACGAGGCGATGTGCGAGATTAATTTGCGACTGCCGCGAAAACACATGACGCTGTCCCTACGGTCGCCGACAGCGAAGTCGTTATGGAACGGTTTGAAATCGTTCTACGCATCGCTCGACCAGGCCAAGCTTGACGCGCGTCTGGACAACCTACTGAACATCCAGATGCACGACGGTGAGAAGGTCGAGGACTACTTGGCTCGTGGGGAGGCCGAGTTCAATGCATTGAAGGGTCATACTGACTACGAGGTTAAAACAACAGTTTTAATCAATCGTCTTGTCAGAGGACTAGCTCCACGGTTCGACAATATCCGTCTGTGGTTCATAACTCATGGTTATCCGAAGGATGTGGATTCACTCAGGGTGCTTCTGCTGCGGTTTGAGTTCGTCGTCTACAGCGGCAACCTCAGGTTCCGGAGCTAACCGAGGTACGAAGAACAAGAAGACAGTCGAGTGTACCTAATGCGGGAGAACTGGGCACGAGAAGCCTGTCTGTTTCAGGAAGGAAAGGCGATGAAGGATGGAAAAGTCTTAAACCCACACTGGCCGCTTTGACACTCGTGGTGAGAGAGTCAGAATTTGTGCCGGGATATGCTGCTCGATCAGGATGAGGATGGGACACCAACAAATGGTCTGATAATATTATGCCAAGTGCACAGAGAGATTTTTACCCGTTGGGTTCAGCAGAGGGTTTCCATTCATGTAGATTAGGAAATTACAGCGTGGAATTGCTGTCTCCGAGCGGTCTGATGTGGTACCTTGATTCAGGGAGCAAATACCACGTGACGGGGATCAAGGATTTCATTCACAGTTACTATACGATTCACAGCCTGCTCACATCCTGATTTCTGTAGTCGTTGGGGATGGGAACATCCTGCCTGTTGTGGGATACAGTGCAGTTATTCCAGCAGCATCCCCGATCTTGCACACCACAAATGCGTGTGATGTATCTATGTATGTATGCCCAGTATGAAGCATAATCTCATCTTGGTGACCCAGCTGACTGAGAAGGGCTTGAAGATCACGTTCGAGGAGAATGTCACTGTTATTCGTCGTGGAGCCTTGTGCATTAAGGCTGCTAAGTGCCACAACTGTCTCAGGCAGGTCATGTCGAACGCCTTAAAGGCCCCTGAGGAGTCCGCAGAGCCTATTACGCCCATCCCTGCCCTTGTTGCGAAGGTGCCTGAGTCACATGTGGCTTCGTTGTGGCACCGGCGTTTTGGCCGCCTGGGACTGGACAACTTGGAAAGGTTGGTGGTGGAGGGAATGGTGTGCGGTATTGATCTGTCGCAGGTTTCTCTTTGGACTGCTAAGAAATATTTTTGTGAAGTTTTGCCTTGGGAAAGCATTGCTGTGGTCCGTTTCCTAGTTCGGATTCCGCTACATCCGAAAACCTCTTGAGTTGTTACATATGGATGTTTGTGGGCCGTTGCTGCAATCTGCTGAGGGCCATCGTTGTTTTGTGAACCTCTTGGATGATTTCATGGGCGTGTCCTGGGTCAAGCCCTTGTTCAGAAAGTCAGATGTCCTGAATTGGCTGTGCACCGCTGTTGTAGCTATTGTGCTGCAGAGTGGCGAGCACGTTAAAGCCTTATGTATAGACGGAGGCGGTGAGTTTGTCAATGAGCATTTTAAGATGTTTTGTCAGTCACGCGGCATTACCCATCAGCTTGCGGCTCCTTGCTCGCTGCAGCAAAATGAAGTGTGGAGTGTTTGAATCGCACCTTGCTAGGTAAGGTGCGGGCTATGTTAGCGGAAGCGCCTGCTGTGTCGAAGAAGTATTGGCATGAGGCCCTGGCGGTCGCCTGCTATGTGTGTAATCAATGTCCTATAGCTGGTAAAGCCAAAACTCCTGATGAGGTTTTTACCGGTGTCGTACCTGCCATCGCCCATCTACATGTGTTCGGTTGCACCGCTTATGTGCACGTCCCTAAGTGCAAATGTGATAAGCTGGACGAGGGTCCAGAAAGGCATATTTGTGGGGTATGTGGCCAATGCACAGGCCTACCGCATTTTTGTCGACGGAAAGGTGATGGTGTCTCGCGATGTTACATTCAACGATGTGGATATGCAGGGAAAGAGCTAAAAGCCGGCGGAAACCCTAAGGAAATAGGTCATTGCTTCGTTCCATCAACGCAATCGGTTGAGCTTGAGAATGCTGTGGATGATGATGGGATGGATTTCGAGGTGCTTATGAGGAGGAGTTGGTCCTTGATGGTGTTGATGATGAAGCCCTAAAACCCTAATGTTGAGCGATACAAGGCTAGTTTGGTTGCCAAGCGGTTTGCACAGCGTGAGGGCCTCGACTTCGATGAGATGTTTGTACCCGTGGGCAAGTATGCCACGTTCCGTACCCTGCCATCTGTCTCATAGCACGCTGTGTGCGGCGCCGACCGCTTCCTCTGCTGCATCCTCGTCGCCGTAGTTGCCTGCGAAGCCACCAGCTGCCTCCACGGCGTCCTCCTCGTCGGAACTGGTGCGCCAGCCCTCGTCCTCCCCATAGCTGCCGGATATATCACTTAGAACATTTTCGTTGTCTAGCGTATCTGTGACTATGACAACAGCTAAGGAACCGCTTCCAACGGAAGCCGCCTCCGAATCGCGCCTGCGGGCTGCGGACTTGCGCCAATTTGGTGTCGGGTTGCAGCCAGATGCGTGCCAATTTATATTCCCATGACCCATGATTTCTTTATGAGACGACCCATCACATTGTAACGTTTTAAGGGCTGCTTTGGTCACAGCAAGTGCCGATGTCGCGGGTCAACACGGTTTCCAGGTTCTCGACTTCCTACTTGATCAGCAGAGCAGACTCCCCATCTGGCCTTGTTTAATTTACAGACTTGAGGACTACGCGAGCGGCTGAACAGCGGTTGAACAACTATGGAACCTGCCGTACTGACAGGGAGCTAGGCAGGGCACGCAGTCCTGGGGGCCCTGNACTCGAAGTGAGTC